AGATACAGAGAAATCTAGAGGCAATTTTGATATTAAAAAATCATCTGAGGGATCAAGTGAGTCACATTTCAATGAAGATGAGGTATCAGGTTCGCTGTCAATGTCTAACGAAAAGTTCTTGGAGTATCCACTTAACTATGAAGTGTGCCTTGGCAAGTTACGGGCTGTATACTTGCATGTATTGGCTGCAGAACAGTGGAATGCTTCTCGTTTAAATAAGTGCCACAGGTACTATCCTTAAGTTTTTGCACTTTGTGCATCCTTTGATATCAGATTTTTGTTTTCATTTGGTTTCAAGAAATAATGATGCACAGTTTAATACTACAGCTTGATTTTTTTGGCAGATCCTACTTGGAAAGTGCCACGAATTTGATTCATTATATGGCATTAAACTCACTTGATGTCGACGAACTTAAGCAAGAACTTTATTCATTAGGCCTTGTAGATTTGGAACGGACGAATTCCCATGTTCTTGCAAGTATTACTGCAGCCATCAAACTCCTAAAAAATCTACAACCCAATTTGTATGACAAGAACCACAAAACATGGCCATTGGATGTGATACACCATGATAATGTTCAGGAGAGTGAAAACTATGTAGATTTTGGCTTAAGTGCAATGAGAAAGAAGGCATCTATGAACAAAGCAGCACTATTTGGACCTGCTCAAGATGAGAAAAACATAAACATAATGGTGACAGTTGGTAGAGAAGCAATTGACAATGAAACCTTGCTCAGTGATCTCGTCAAGTCAGGCGCAAATGTAATACGCATCAACTGCGCACATGATGACCCAACTATTTGGAGTGAAATCATTAGAATTGCAAAGCACTGCTCACAAATGTTGGAAAAACCATGTCGAGTTCTTATGGATTTAGCTGGGCCAAAGTTGAGGACAGGACCAATGAATTCTGGTCCACAAGTTATGAAATTATCCCCTAAAAAGGATGCTAAAGGTGATGTCATGTTTCCAGCTCAAGTTTGGCTGTCTCGTCCAGGTTGTGCCCCTCCTACTCCCTCAGCAGTAGATGCAACTCTTTTTGTAGAAAGTGGTAGATTTTTTAATGAAATTGGGATAGGCAATGTGCTCGAATTTGTTGATTGTAGGGGTAGACGAAGGTCACTCAAAGTCTCTAAAAGACTTTCTGCTTCTAGTGGCTATGGCTTCATTGCAGAGTGTTCACGGACTGCTTATGTTGGCTCAGGCACCAAATTGTGCATACAGAAGAAGAAGGGTAAGTCTTCCTGTGGAGAAGTAGTGAATGTGCCTGCAGCAGATCAGTTCATTAGGGTGAGAGTGGGGGACTTGCTGACTATTATTAGAGAACCTAGTTTAATATTTGATGAAATTGGTGCTAGCACATGTGGTGCTGCAAAGGTAACATGTAATTCTGGTCGTCTTTTTGATTCTGTGAAACCTGGAGACCCTATAGCTTTTGATGATGGAAGGATCTGGGGAGTTGTTCAGGGAACAAGTATTAATGAAATAGTTGTCTCAATAACTCATGCAAGTCCAAAGGGTTCAAAACTAGGCTCTGAGAAATCAATAAACATTCCCAACAGTGAGATACACTTTGAAGGCTTGACCTCGAAGGATCTTGTGGATCTTGAATTTATTGCTGCTAATGCTGATATGGTAGGCATTTCATTCATTAGAGATGTACATGACATGGAGATTGTCCAGCAACAACTGAAGAAAAGAAAGCTTGCAGAGTTGGGTGTTGTGCTGAAAATTGAAACTCAAAGTGCCTTTGATAGGCTGCCTCTCTTGCTGCTTCAGGCAATGCAGTCTCCTAACCATTTCGGGGTTATGATTGCTAGAGGAGATCTTGCAGTGGAATGTGGATGGGATCAGATGGCTAGTATTCAGGAAGAGATCTTGTCCATTTGTAATGCTGCTCATGTTCCTGTTATATGGGCAACCCAAGTTCTTGAATCACTTACCAAAACAGGCATTCCTACTAGAGCTGAGATCACTGATGTTGCCAGTGGAATGAGGTAAGGTTGAGCACCACAGTTTTCTATCATTCCTTTTGTGCAGTTGTTGAGGTAAAATAGGGTTATGATCGTCCACTGAGATTTGAAACCAAGGCTCAGAATACTACACATACCAGGCTATACCAACCATTTCCTACCAGTCCAGGCCGGTTCCAATATGATACTCACACTTTTTCTAAACCTTGTCTGGAACATTTAGCAATAGTGAGACCAACAAGTTCTATATGTTTTAACTTTTACCTGAACCCATCCTATATTTTTCACTATGCCTCTGAAGCAGTAAGCCACGGTGTGCAGGCAGTAAGGCCTAGATCAGTGATTTCAAAGTTTGCTTTTGATCACATGACAACCCTGCCATTGCATATGGTAGAGTTAATACCCAGAAATTATATTGTCAGTTCGCCACCCATATTATTTATCATCGCATTGCATGATAGTAGAGTTAATATCATCATTGTCAATTTGGTTTCTTTGGTCCCTAAGTTTGTGACAATTAGGAAGGAACCTTGTAACTCAAAACATTTTGGTTACTGCATATTTTTTGTGAAACAATGCATCACTAAGGTCCATAAATTAATGGAGAGGAGGAAAGCTAGAACTATTTATTATTCTGTCCAAGTGCCCCAAAACATCAAAGAGGAGGACATCAACTTTTTCCTATATGTTTCAACTTTATCAAACAGATGTGAGGCCTATAGTCGATTAAAAATATTCCATTGCTTTTGCAGGGCAAGTTGCATTATGCTGAACAAAGGGAAGTACATTACAGAAGCTGTTTCAACCTTGAACACTGTACTGGGCAGCTGTTCCACAAGTAAGAAGAATATGAAGACTTTAATGAAGCCACTTTTCCCCACAAGTTGAATGCAAGTTGCTTTTGCAGCATATCCTTTCCACATAACTTCTTTCTCAGAATTTATATGGTAAATGTTGGTGTCTGTACACAGATGTTGTAGGAAGGTGTTGCATCATCATGAAGTGATTCTGTAATGAAAACAGATCATTGATGCATAACTTGGAGTCATGTTGAAAATTTGGTGAAAGTAGTCTGTTGTTGAACAACCTGTGTTCATGTTGCAGGTCTGCACATAACTTTGTAGATTGCAAAACCTGTAAACTTCATTGTATGGAGGTATTGAACTGTTGTAATCTTATGCTTGAACCAGCCAGCAATGTTCCTTAGCTTATCACATCATGTTTTCGCCCTTTTCTTTTCCATGTTGTAAAGGTAGAAATTTTGTCACAGATGTCAGCATGTTCAAATGTGTTGTGAAGTTTCTTTAGCAGCACTAAGGGAATAGCCAAAGATCAACATGTGTTTGGTTCCTTTAGTTCCTACTATGTAATAAATACATATCTAAATAAAATTAAACTAAAGTTCTTGCACTAAAATTTTCCCTCCTTTAGATTTCTGCAATCAACATATTATGGAAAAGAAATTGAGAAGAGCAATATTTTTATTATTATGGAAAATTTTCTTTTATATGACTGAGGATTGCATAATAAAACCGTTATTTTCTCTAATAACGGTCGTTAAATTTGCGATACTTGGATGTAACGGCCGATATAAATGACTACAACGGTGGATATAAAATATCGCCCTCGGTGCCACCATTTCTTTGTTGCCCGACCCAAACAGGCGCCGCGCCACCGAAGAGCTCCTCCTTTTCCGCTGCGCCGCTGCTTCCTACGTATTTGGTTGATCCTAAGGTAGATACTTCCCTCGGTGGCAGGTCCTTCTACGGCCGCTTGTAGGGATCGAAGGGCGCCACACGGCAAGCGAAGAGTTTGATCGTGGACCAAGCGGCGCTTATCGATTGGATCAGTCATTCGAGGACGGATTCTTTGCGATATGTACAAGTCCATGGGTGGGAAAGGTGACTCTTTGCGGCCGACGAAGGATGAGGCGCCTTCGGGGAGGCAGTGGGGTTGATGATTTTGATAGTTTATCTCGAGAATTGGGTGAGGAAAGTCTCGGAGTTCCAGAGATAACTAGCGAAGAGGCGATTTGATAGCGATTTGGAGGATGAATACAAGGTCGATGATGAGGAGGAGAAAATTAACTGTTTGTGCAGACAGAGAACCGTATCTGCGTCGTTTGGGTAGAACTGGTCGGAAAGGCCAGGAAGGAATAGGGAGTCTGATGTCGGCACCATGGGAAGACTTCTTTTTTAGTAGCATCAAGGACTCGCCAATCACCAAGGCTCCATTGCCAACAGTAGAAAACAAGTATCTGAATCACTTCCTTTACTACCATATTTGTTGCCAACAGTAGCATCAAGTCTGATGTCGGCATCAAGGACGTCGTTTGCTTTGTTGCTTTATTGGCTTAAAATACCTAAACCATTACATACTCACTCTGTTGCAATTATGCTGAAGTAGATATGCCCGATGTTTTATATAGCTGTATTTTGTTGTTTGATAATGTGTTTTTGCCATCTTATGCACCTTTTTGTTTCTTTTCCCTGTAATTTTTCACTTCTGTTGTTTGACTTGAAGCTGATTCTGCAATTTTTAGCTCTTCACTGTCGAATGATAGGTAGTTCACACTCAATTGTATTTAGTCATTTTGAAGAGTGAATTTGAGGATACCATCAACAGCCTGCTTTTGTCTTGGGCTTTTGCAAAGAGTTTGGATAGATGCTGCCAGCTGTTGTTGATGGCTAGAAGTAGAGGGTCCACTTTGGGTACAGAGTGCTGACGACAGTCCTTGCATTGGGATAGAAGACTGGTGAAACTAGAATCTTGGCCCTAGATATCACCAATGTAATGCATTATTACCTGTTACATGGATACACTATTTCATCTTTTGCCTTGTTAGTTGAATGTTCCAATCAGTAGTTCCTTCATTCTGACGTGACTTTAGAAGACACATGACTACTACCCTATAAACAAAATGAAGTTCATATTTTTCTACAACACTTCATGATCCTTTAATTTATTTGTTGCTTCCTTTACTACCATATTTGTTGCTTTATTGGCTTTATATGTTTCTACTCACTCTATTGCAATTATGCTGAAGTATATATGCCCGATGTTTTATATAGCTGTATTTTGTTGTTTGATAATGTGGTTTTGCCATCTTATGCACCTTTTTGTTTCTTTTCCCTGTAATTTTGCACTTCTGTTGTTTGACTTGAAGCTGATTCTGCAATTTTTAGCTCTTCACTGTCGAATGATAGGTAGTTCACACTCATTTGTATTTAGTCATTTTGAAGAGTGAATTTGAGGGTACCATCAACAGCCTGCTTTTGTCTTGGGCTTTTGCAAAGAGCTTGGATAGACGCTGCCAGCTGTTGTTGATGGCTAGAAGTAGAGGGTCCACTTTGGGTACAGAGTGCTGACGACAGTCCTTGCATCGGCATAGAAGACTGGTGAACTAGAATCTTGGGCCTAGATATCACCAATGTAATGCATTATTACCTGTTACTTGGATACACTATTTCCTCTTTTGCCTTGTTAGTTGAATGTTCCTTTCAGTAGTTCCTTCATTCTGATGTGACTTGTATCAAACTTGTTGCTTTGTTGATACAGGTGGAGTGGGCAGTGGTGCGTCCAGAGATGAAGAACTAAGAATCAGCATATCAACCATGGCTTGAATTCTGTAGTTCCAGTAAAAATATTGGTTCAGAATCAGCTTGTAACTCTTGCTAATGTGTTTAGCCCAGGCATAATACTCAGCCCCTGGTTTACAAGCAAGGTAGTTCTCTAAAGGTCTGTTTATTCCCTGTGTTCTAAGAAACTGATTTCCAGATATCTGTTTTCTTTAGAAGACACATGGCTTCTACCCTATAAACAAAATGGAGCAGTTTAAGATTTTTCTGCAATACTTCATGATGCTTTAATTTATTCTCAACCTTTGTCTGGCCAGTTTGATCAGTTCTCTCACCGTCCTTTGGACAGAGAGGTTATCTTATTAATCATTTTTGTTATTCCCCTTTGCTTTAATCTACTAAAAATGTATAAATGTTTCATTCAAAATATGTGATGGAGTTTAATTTATAACTATTCCTTGTTGCAGTTGTTTCTCACATGCTTCAATATGGTTTTATTGTTGGCTGTTAATTGGGTATGGGTGATGGAAAAGAAATCCTGTTGTCTTAACTTGTACCATTAGGTATGCTCAATCAGTGTACTAAGAACATTGAGGTTGATAGGATTGTCCTTTACCTTTTGGCTGTTTCTACAGTTGGATGTCATAATTTGATCTTGTACATGATGTGTTCTTCTTTAGGAAAATACATTTGGAATGCAAAATCTTGTAGCTTGTTGGATCTTGCATTGGCTCTTCTTCTGGACCGAGAAAGATCGTGGCGAGGGCTTGATGAGTACATGGCGGATTGCACTAGATACTGCATCTCGGTAACTAAAATTACTCGACCGCAATTAGCTGATGGAGTGGTCATCATTCTTGATCAATGTAATTGTGAATTGATATATATGGTGTAGTTCTTGCTCATTCAAAGATATTTTCTGTAAGACCTGCTAGAGATTGATTTTTAGAAGAAACGCAAGTCAGCTGGAGGAGAAATCAAGCCTTGTGTTCATGGATTCATGACCAACAGATACAGTATGGTTCATCAAGCATGCATGCGAAGATGTTCTATTTGCTCTTCATGCGACATGTTGAACCAACATTAGATTCATGCTTCGAATGCT